ATAGAATAAAAGCTTTGAAAAATGGCCTTTGAAAATATTAGGATCTACTATTGCCTTTAAATTTTTATTGTATTCATATTTTGCAATCACATATACTGTCCCAGTTCTGGAATTTACAAAACACCCAAGATTTAGCTACATTAAAATCCTTGAAATGGTGAAGCGTTAAGAAAATCTCATTGCACAATTATGCACTGTAATTATCAAAACATTCAATCTCAGACCACTGAACCATTAAAACTATGGGCGACATAAAATAATAAAAATCAACATACATAATACATTTATTTACGGATCGTTCAGCTATTCAACAATTCCATTGATTTCATGATCAATCAACCCTAACCTCCCTGCCGCTGTGAACGGACACCCAGTCATTTAAATTCGAAGCTAACTGGATCGTAGAATTCTTTGTGTCTGCTAGCAATATGGGCTTTGAGATTGTCCCGCTGATTACATCGGTGGGGACAGTAGGGACAAGCATAGGGTTTCTCTCCAGTGTGAGTCCGTTGGTGGCGCTCCAGCTTGTACCGCGTCTCGAAGGCTTTGTTGCAGATGGCGCACACATGGCCGCGATGCCGCACGGCTGCAGATGCACGAGCCATCGAGTGTACGAGCTGAAGAGAGATAAACATGGTATGAGTCAAATGAGGCGTACTTGAAACCTATTCTTGTCGTGTGAACAAGTTTTAAAGCCCAACATGAAATATACCCCTGTTATAATGTACAAACAAGACACAATAAAAAAATTTAAAATACGGTGGGGTACATGGAGACATGTTAGTGATCTGTTCTCGCATTCAACATTAAATGTGCCTGTTAGCTAGTATTTCTTGCATTAACATTTGCACTGCAGATTCTCATGAATACAGCCTGCAAATATTCATAATACATCAGCACGAGTTAAAAGTTGTGTTCTACAAGGTTAATTCCCAATGCTTTTATCGATGTTATGCGTGTACCCCCCCCCCCCGCTCTCTCTCTCTCTCTCTCTCTCTCTCTCTCTCTCTCTCTCTCTCTCTCTCTCTCTCTCTCTCTCTCTCTCTCTCTCTCTCTCTCTCTCTCTCTCTCTCTCTCTCTTTCATTGTTACGTTTTCTTTCAATATATTTTCCCTGTTCATTTTAGAATCTTTTAGTACCTTAAATTATTTTTTTTCCAATTTGTCATTATTCGAACTTTGTAGCTTCATTTGCTAGAAATCACATAGAACTTCAACTGCAAGAATCACAGATTGCATTATGGACACACTTGCCTTGTCCCCTAAAGCTTTATTGTTTTATTTTAAGATTATATTTTAATCCTCTTATAATGGTGGCAGTAATACTTACCAAAGCCAATGTGTAACTTCTGCCACGAAATATCCTAAAACGACTCCATGTGAGCGCAGTGATTACACTCAAACATAAATGATGACGCAAAATGTTCGAATGCGGATATTCAAGAAAATAAAAAGAAAAGGCAGTAGAATGCAGGTGATGGAAACTACGTAGTTGGGACATTGCACATATATTTTAATGAACAGTTACAAAGGCTTCTAGGCTACACATTAAAACAAAACAACTATAATATAGAGTTTATACTTCTGCCATGTGAAAATCTGAGATGTGTTGGATTTAAATAATTATCCAGTTTGTCAAATTATTGATGCTAAAAAGTGGGTCCATGGGCGCCACTTGTGCGGGTAGCATGAAACTACCGTTGTCATGAATTTACAATTCCTTGATTCGCCGCTAATGACCTTAGCTGCTGACGCGACAGGTAATTTTGATTTATCAATATCTCCCTTCAATAATTAATTGTATCACTTGGTCCCATTTTAGCTTTACTTTTATGTAATCAATTCATGTAAGATTAAAGTTATATCTAAATGGAAAAGAATGATGTAGAGTACGAATAACATCAAATTCATGCTTGCCAGCACTAGCTGGTGGGCAGAGTTAAAAATACGTTCACAGATGTTTGAAATACTTCAACCCACTTTTAATTTGTGGGAATACAAAAACCTTTCCGTTTCCTGTATCATAGCTGAGCGCAGATTAATCTGTATGGCACTACAACACTGGCATTACCTAAATGCTTTCATGACAGCAAGTAAAGTAACTCATCATCTCTTTTTCATGCTGCCAGTTACAAGTCAGAACCGTGCCGGCTTCTCATGTGACTTCGAAGCCTTGCTCTGACCGCTGCTCGATATGGGCAGTATGGACAGGCATAAGGCTTCTCTCCTGTGTGTACCCTCACATGTTTTCGGAAGTCATTCTTGTGATAGAAGTTCTTGGAGCAATGGTGACAGGTGAAGCGGAACGGCGAGCCCACCTGAGGGAGAGCGAAAGATACAACTTAGCGATCACTATTTTTCTTTGATGTACAAGTGAAACAAAATATGTAAATAACTGGATATATCATTTGGTGGAGAATATTCCAATCCTTCCTTTTTATCCTTGTTTTTTTTTTTTCTTTTCTTTTTTAATACATAACATAGATAGCATGTTTTCTTCC